CACTTCGGCCTTCCACGCAGGCGGCCGGAGTTCAATCCCCGAAGTCGTCGCACGCATGGAATATTAGAGAAAGTGTTTTTCTCCTGCCAACACAACTCCAACAACCCAGGTGGAGTATACAATGGTCTGGGGTGGATGTTGCGGTATTTGTGATGTATCATTCAAGTGAGGTGGCAATATAAAAGATACCGTTGGAAGCACGGTCCCACTACAAACAGAACACAATACATATCCAGCACACACGCAGGTATACACACAAAGGGAGATATTAGCCAGGTGGCATATGACTAGTAGCTAGCGCCTGATATGGCAGCTCCTGCGAATTCCTCAAAAAATGTATTAATTGTATATGCTAATTGTATGTATGTATCTGTGTACCGGAAAGCGCTTTATAGTGGCTTATGTTAGCTAGATAGGGCGCTATGTCAAATGTTGTATATATTATTATTATTACTGAATAATTGCTCAGTCCATTTGCGTGTTTCTATTGATGTTATAAGCATCAAGCTTGTTTATGAGATGGTTATGAGGCACTACTCAAAAACCATGTAGACTGATTCTACCTACCCTCCTTCGTCAAGGATAGTTGTCCAACAATCTAATACGTTTATCAGTTTTAAAGTTGGTGATCTCCCATTGATGAATCCATATGCTTGTCAGTCAAAAATGGTATTTATTCATATGTGCAACAATTTGGTTTCCTAACTAATGGTTCCATTATCTTACAGATCAAACTACAATTGTAGTAAGGCTGACCGGTCTATAATTGGATGTGGAACATTTATCTCCTTTCTTTAACACTGCTGATACCTGACCTTCCTTCCATTCCTTTGTTGGTACAATGCCAGTCTCGAATGACGGATTAAATAATGTATACCGGGCAATTTTCGCAGTTTTACTTTCTCCCTTTTCACCCTCCGTGATAAGGACGAATTAATCATTACAGTGATGATAAGTAGACAACATGATAATTATACATAGTAACTTAATGTGAAGGGTGAAATTAAAAAATGTGCNTGGGGGGGGGGGGGGGGGGGGCGAGATTTTGACTGGATGAAAGATTCCTGGTATACAGTATTACAATGTACGCACAGTGCTATATGAATCACATTAGCAAGTACATGTACCTTCAATACACCTTCAATACAGCCGGGTGAAATGCCCGGTCCTGCTGATTAAGATGTGTTCGGACCAGTTTTCTTATATCATCATCCTCTTGAAATATTTAATCATTTGAGCTTTCCTCTCCTTAGTCTGTAACTACCATCCTCATCATCTACAGTCAACACACTGCTAGACAAATAAGTCAGACAGAATATCAGTATTTTCTGTATTTGCATTATCTAACAGTTAACGTATTCCCAATTTTGTTATAAATACTTTTGGAGGATTCAGCTATGTGGGGTTCTTTTGTCCTTTTCTATGACGTGTTGAAGATTACTTCTTGGTCTGCAATACTCCCTCGTGGAATCCCTTTTTCCATAAGATATTCCCTCCACAACCTATGTTTGCGTCTGATAGATTGAACTGTGTTAATATCCAGTGGTGATTTTCATTGATGTGGTTTGTTACTTTTTTCATAGCATTCATAAATGAATTGGTGAATATACTGAAAGCCTCCTCTATATGCTTACCTTCTGATAACGTAAACAAGTGCAGTAACATCTCACGCATCAGTGCCCCACGATCTGCTTTAGCTTAGATATCACGTTCTGGGTTGTTCCCTTGTGTGTTGCAAAGCATGAAAAGTCAATGTACATGATAATATGATCACTAGCTTCCAACGGACTTTGACAATTAATGTCGAACACGCAAATTTCGTCATTTACTAAAACCAAGTCCAATAGAGTTGGCTCCTGGTTGACCTTTAACCTGGTTTTCTCTGTCATCACTTGTTGGAAAAGGGTTATTCAAGCGTTCCATAAACTGTAAGCTAGTATAACTTAGTGCATGCCATGTAGACCATTTTATCTGAAAGGTTGAATTGGGCGGTTGGAATCTCCTAATATTAAGAAATGCTAATACCCCTTCAAACTTCTGTCACGTATGAAAATGTCCATTGGATTTTTCATATTATCCCTGCTCAGATGTAAGGTTCAGACCTTGTTTACAGGAATTTTCGTGCTATATTCACACTGTATTATCTTGGTCTAGTCTGTATTTGGTACGAGTCTTATTTAACATGACGTAATACGTGCTATGTAAACTGCAGCTCCTGCCCCGGTGATAAAACCCTTACATAACGATATTTGAACAAGACCTGGATAACGTTACAGAATAAATATCAAAATTATTTCAGCACCTGTGGAAATAGGGCTCAATATTAAGGAATGGTAGGAAAATGCCACATCAATCAGATGCTCTTTTACCAGATTAAGATCCCTATGACCCAGCACAACACAAGTTCAAAATGATGTTTCGCTGGGTCATGGAAATCATAGATTACAACAGAAAAGTTAAACCTCGAATGATACGATAAAACAATGAAAAGAATTATTACAGAGAGGTTTATTAACGTTAGAACTTTTTCATTGGCTCACTTTCAAACAAAAACAAAAAGGAATGATAACAAACAAACTTCAATCTTTGAAGATAAAAAACGCACCTAGGCCGACAAATATTTATCTATTTCTTATATAAAAGTGTTGGTGTGTGTATTTTCACAAAGTATCGTGCTACATACAACGTAATGATTTGACGTGATGACAATTCAAATCGTGATACATTGACCTGGTCGTTGTAGGTGTCATCTGGATTCAACATATGATGCTGTACCTCGCTACACCGACAACAGATATACTAGGTACTCAGTGTAACAGTGCCATATCAGATTGCAATATAATATGCTACAATTACAAAAATAATACAGAATTCTAGGTGACGCTATACCTGGATATCGTTATAACTTTAAATTACATTATGTATGTGCGTCTCATCGATACTGTTATTCCGTTTTTGCGTATTGCAGAATTATCTTCTCTTGTGAGCAGGTATTGATTGTTACGTCATCAGTTTTTGGGAAAACGATGTTATTTTCTCACACAAACCAATGACGTAACAATCAATACCTGCTCACAAGAGAAGATAACTCTGCAATACGCAAAGACGGAATACGACCTTTACACTCTGTGACTGACCGAAATAGTGAGTGCAATCTTTTTGTTGATGGGAGCAAACAAAAATATGACGAACATTTGTTTGTTTGTTTGTTTTGTATTGTCTTACGGCCCATCGATAATTTGAGCCATTTAGGGCCAAACAACAATGTATGTAATAAGTAGACATCCACAAAAAAATGAATACATAAAAACCAGAAACAAACGGTTAAAATGTGTAAAATATAACAAAGGGTATCAATCGCAACGAATTGGTTATACATTATATCAGATCTTATAATAGAGAATAAATGAATGTAAATAATCATATACTGAATCGTTTGCACAGAAACTGTATCAAATAAACGTTTAATAGAGAGATCATAAGACATTCTGTCACGCATTTGTTTGAAATCAGCGTATTCAATCATAAAGTGTTTGACTGTAAATGGTTGATCACATGCAAGACAATTATTGGTCAATAATTGGATGCCACGATAAATAACCAAGGACAAATATATCTTTGAAGTATAACAAGAGGCCCATGGGCCTTAACGGTCACCTGAGTCTATAGTATTTATTTTTGTTGTTGAAATATGTACCAATTTGAGTAAAAAATAGTATAATGTTAACTTAACTTTGTCAGGACCATGAGCTGATCATTCCTAGACCAATTTTAAGTGAGATCGGCCTATTAGAACTTAGTAGCAAAATAGCGGCCATGGCAGCCAAATTGTATTTCTGATTGACCCGAAAAATAACAACACTTTGTCAGGACCATGATTCGATCATTCCTACAAAGTTTCAGTTCAATCGGCCAAGTAGATCTTTACTTTAAGTTTGAAATAGTTTTCCAAAATGGCAGCCGTGGTGGCCATATTGGATTTCTGATCGACCCGAAAAATAACAACACTTTGTCAGGACCATGAGTCAATCATTCCTACAAAGTTTCAGTTCAATCGGCCTAGCAGAACTTGACTTTAAGTTTGAAATATGTTTTCAAAATGGTGGCCGTGGCGGCCATATTGGATTTATGATTGACCTGAAAAATAACAACACTTTGTCAGGACCATGAGTCGATCATTCCTACAAACTTTAAGTTCAATCGGTCCAGCAGAACTTGACTTTAAGTTTGAAATAGGTTTTCAAAATGGCGGCCGTGGCGGCCATATTGGATTTCTGATCGACCCGAAAAATAACAACACTTTGTCAGGACCATGAGGCGATCATTCCTACCAACTTTCAGTTCAATCGGTCCAGCAGAACTTGACTTTAAGTTTGAAATAGGTTTTCAAAATGGCGGCCGTGGCGGCCATATTGGATTTCTGATCGACCCGAAAAATAACAACACTTTGTCAGGACCATGAGGCGATCATTCCTACCAACTTTCAGTTCAATCGGTCCAGCAGAACTTGACTTTAAGTTTGAAATAGGTTTTCAAAATGGCGGCCGTGGCGGCCATATTGGATTTCTGATCGACCCGAAAAATAACAACACTTTGTCAGGACCATGAGGCGATCATTCCTACCAACTTTCAGTTCAATCGGTCCAGCAGAACTTGACTTTAAGTTTGAAATAGGTTTTCAAAATGGCGGCCGTGGCGGCCATATTGGATTTCTGATCGACCCGAAAAATAACAACACTTTGTCAGGACCATGAGGCGATCATTCCTACCAACTTTCAGTTCAATCGGTCCAGCAGAACTTGACTTTAAGTTTGAAATAGGTTTTCAAAATGGCGGCCGTGGCGGCCATATTGGATTTCTGATCGACCCGAAAAATAACAACACTTTGTCAGGACCATGAGGCGATCATTCCTACCAACTTTCAGTTCAATCGGCCCAGCAGAACTTGACTTTAAGTTTGAAATGTAAAATGTTAACGGACGACGGACGACGGACGACGGACGACGGACGACGACGGACGAAAACGGATAGCAATAGGTCACTTGCGCTAAAGCTCAGGTGACCTAAAAATAAGCTTTGACCATGCTATATAACCAAGATCTTAAATGCTGTCATACACTCTGAAACTGGATATCTTGTTTATTAATTAAAATATTCCATTTAAATTGTACACGTGTAAAAAGCATTATTGTGAATGACAAGTTAATTTTAATTTGTAAGTTAGGACAGACAGCTAACAAACATGCACATCTATTCTAAAAAATAAAACGTTTTCTAACAAGTATTAAGTCAAAATACTTACCCCTTTGTTTATCGTGACCACTATGTACATGTGTAATAGGGTCATGACATTAACTTAACACGTGTGAATAAAACAATTAAGGCACTCTTTTCATAGGGAGCTGTTCTCAACAAAGACAATATAAAGATAGTTAATAATGACTGTAATTATAACAGACTGGAAATATTTCAACCCTCCGGACAACACTGTTTAACATTCATGCTCGATAAACCTTTTAGTAATACAGACAGGTTTTGCTGCGAGACATAATTTTTATGACTAAAACCGGAACTCTCTTTTACTGGAAAAATTAAGATGTTATCATATTTTTTTTTTCAAATTGACGAATTAAAACACATATGGGTTCCAAATATAATTAAAGCGTCATTTTACGCTACAGTAACGTGACGCCATTATTTTCTCTTTGGCGTCGCTCTGTCCTCCGTTCTTAATCAGTTGAAATCAAAATATAAAGACGGGATTATGACGATGATCTTTCAACGGAAAATATAATGAAATATGATAAACATATCAGGAACATTTGTTGGTACAAATATGAAAGTCATACAAGTAATACCGCACGTGTGCACCTGACGTCAAATATTGCACTCGCTTACTGCGAGTACGCACACATCCACTTTCGTGCGTATGTATCTGCAAAGAAACGCGTGCTGTCTAATTATTATTGTGCGCTAGGACTGACTTTATGCGTTGACTCCGAAATGCCGACGGTTGTCTGTTTATGGCCTGATATCTACTGCTCTTTAAAACACAGGGATTTGTCGCCAAAATTTGCAATATAGGTTGTGGTAGTTTTACTGGTACATTTTGTATGTCAGAGACAATTATTTACATCTATGTGTCGATAATGACAAAAAAAATGTTAAAATATTAATTTTAGCTGCGCTAGTAGCTTTTACATTAATGGTAGCCAGACTGTAATAAACAATATAAACGTTAAAATGAATCTATTAAATTGAATATAATATAAATGCAATATAATTAAAACTAATTATTTTGTATACCAAGAAATCTTTTAGCTGTTGTAGGGTATATTGCCCGACCACGTGGGTTCTCTCCGGGTACTCCGGTTTCCTCCCACACTCAGACCCCCATGCGCTACATGTTACACCCGGTTCAAGAAGAGTGATTAAAATAAGTTGAAATAACTTGTTTCATAATTATTGTTAAATAAATAAAGTTTATATTGATAGGCATATACTGTATATCATTACTATGATTTCTTTCGAGATTCCTGGGTCCTTATTTATAAGACCATTCTTATGTTCATTTTTTATGATTAAGGTACACTACACGAACTGAGATACCTTAAGAAAAGGACTAACATTGTGTTAGACATGGCATGTTTTCATTAATACAAATCATTGCATTGTTAAGAGGTATATCACCTTCATAGTTTAACATAACATTGGTAGCAATTGGAAGAAAACATTAATTTGTTAGTGGTAAGTGATATCTTAGTTCGTAGTAATTCATATTATATAAAAACAACGCCATAGTTCTTCTCAAATCGGCTATTGTTCTCGCTCTTAGTGCTTTAAAGTGTCCCCGTTGTTGACACTGAAAACATTTCCGAGTATAATGAAACGGAACGAGAACCTGCGCCAATAGTCCACGTGACAGGTGGATAAAATTCCTTTTCTGTAAAATAATGCAATATCCCTGTTTCTAGTGACATCGTTGTTCCTCTTGATTGCTTGCTGTTGGTCTTTGTACATTGAAGGTTCGCGCTGTTTGACCTTGTTAAGTAACATGACTGGGACGATCTCTGTTCTACTAAATACTCTTCCAGTAGATTTCTGGGTACATGTTGTTTGGTAGTTTGATGTTTGACACAAATATTGCCACATTTTACTGCATTCCTGTGTAAAAATGCTACACAAAGAATAAACAACACTAGGCAAGCCAGTACTATCACAATACAAGCTGTGATAAAGAGTGCTAGTCCTTCATCGTCCTCTTCGAAAAATCTCCATCGGACATGTGTCTTCATAACGTTCATGTCTGCTATACTTGAGACAGTGGTTTCGACGTCTTCTGAAAAAATACGAAACAAATATCATGACCCTTATTATCAGTCTAGAAAATTGTGTATACTGTATTAAAATAAGTGTGTTGTATACTGTACATCTAGTAGTAGAAAAATTATATATAGTGATGTATACTGTGCAAATATCAGGTTGTTATACATGCAGTAGAGGGCAATGGATATATAGTGTTGTAGACTTGACATAAAGTGGTGAATACTGTACATGAAGTGGTGTACCCAGTACACGTAGTGTTGTGCACTGTACATGTAGTGGTATGCAATGAACATGTAGAGGTATGCATTGTACAGGACGGGGTGTACTCAGTAAATGTAGTGGTATACTCAGTACATGTAGTGTTGTACCCAGTACATGTTGTGATGTACCCAGTACATGTACTGATGTACCCAGTACATGTTGTGATGTACCCAGTACATGTAGTGATGTACCCAGTACATGTTGTGATGTTCCAAGTACATGTAGTGATGTTCCCAGAACATGTAGTGATGTACCTTGTACATGTAGTGATGTACCCATTACATGTAGTGGTGTACCCAGTAGATGTAGTGATGTACCCAGTACATTTAATGATGTACCCAGTACACGTTATAATGTACCCAATACATGTAGTGATGTACCAATTACATGTCGTGATGTTCCAAGTACATGTAGTGATGTACCCAATACATGCAGTGATGTACCCAGTACATGTAGTGATGTCCCAGTACATTTAACGATGTACCCAGTACATGTAGTGATGTACCTAGTACATGTAGTGATGTACCTAGTACATGTAGTGATGTACCCAGTACATGTAGTGATGTACCCAATACATGTAGTGATGTACCCAGTACATGTAGTGATGTACCAAATACATGTAGTGATGTACCCAGTACATGTAGTGATGTTACCAGAACATGTAGTGATGTTCCCAGAACATGTAGTGATGTTCCCAGAACATTAAGTGGTGAACACTGTACATGCGTTGTTATACATTGTGCATGTAGTGTTGTGCAATGTAGATGCAGTGGTGTACATTGTAAATGCAGTGGTGTACATTGTAAATGTAGTGGTGTATATTGTAAATGAAGTGGTTTACATTGTAAATGCAGGGGACATTAAGTGGTGAACACTGTACATGCGTTGTTATACATTGTGCATGTAGTGTTGTGCAATGTAGATGCAGTAGTGTACATTGTAAATGCAGTGGTGTATATTGTAAATGCAGTGGTGTATATTGTAAATGCAGTGGTGTATATTGTAAATGCAGTGGTGTAAACTGTAAATGTAGTGGTGTATATTGTAAATGTAGTGGTGTACATTGTCAATGTAGTGGTGTATATTGTAAATGTAGTGGTGTATATTGTAAATGAAGTGGTTTACATTGTAAATGCAGGGGACATTAAGTGGTGAACACTGTACATGCGTTGTTATACATTGTGCATGTAGTGTTGTGCAATGTAGATGCAGTAGTGTACATTGTAAATGCAGTGGTGTATATTGTATATGTAGTGGTGTACATTGTAAATGTAGTGGTTTACATTGTAAATGTAGTGGTGTACATTGTAAGTGCAGTGGTGTACATTGCAAATGTAGTGATGCATTGTAAATGGAGTGGTGTACATGGTAAATGTATTGGTGTACATTGTAAATGTAGTGCTGTACATTGTAAATGTAGTGGTGTACATTGTTATTGCAGTGGTGTACATTGTAAATGCAGTGGTGTCCATTGTAAATGTAGTGGTGTACATTGTAAGTGCAGTTGTGTACATTGCAAATGTAGTGATGCATTGTACATTGTAAATGCAGTGGTGTAAACTGTAAATGTAGTGGTGTATATTGTAAATGTAGTGGTGTATATTGTAAATGTAGTGGTGTATATTGTAAATGAAGTGGTGTACATTGTAAATGGAGTGGTTTACATTGTAAATGTAGTGGTGTATATTGTAAATGTAGTGGTGTATATTGTAAATGAAGTGGTTTACATTGTAAATGCAGGGGACATTAAGTGGTGAACACTGTACATGCGTTGTTATACATTGTGCAGGTAGTGTTGTGCAATGTAGATGCAGTGGTGTACATTGTAAACGCAGTGGTGTACATTGTAAATGCAGTGGTGTTCATTGTAAATGCAGTGGTGTATATTGTAAATGTAGTGGTGTACATTGTCAATGTAGTGGTGTATATTGTAAATGTAGTGGTGTACATTGTCAATGTAGTGGTGTATATTGTAAATGTAGTGGTGTATATTGTAAATGTAGTGGTGTATATTGTAAATGTAGTGGTGTAAACTGTAAATGTAGTGGTGTACATAATAAATGCAGTGGTGTATATTGTAAATGCAGTGGTGTAAACTGTAAATGTAGTGGTGTACATCGTAAATGTAGTGGTGTACATTGTAAATGCAGTTGTGTACATTGTAAATGCAGTGGTGTACATTGTAAAAGTAGTGGTGTACATTGTAAATGTAGTGGTGTAAACTGTAAATGAAGTGGTGTACATTGTAAATGTAGTGGTGTAAACTGTAAATGAAGTGGTGTACATTGTAAATGTAGTGGTGTAAACTGTAAATGAAGTGGTGTCCATTGTAAATGTAGTGGTGTACATTGTAAATTCAGTGGTGTACATTGTAAATGTAGTGGTGTAAACTGTAAATGAAGTGGTGTACATTGTGAATGTAGTGGTGTACATTGTAAATGCAGTGGTGTATATTGTAAATGCAGTGGTGTAAACTGTAAATGTAGTGGTGTACATAATAAATGCAGTGGTGTATATTGTAAATGCAGTGGTGTAAACTGTAAATGCAGTGGTGTACATTGTAAATGTAGTGGTGAACGTTGTAAATGTAGTGGTGTAAACTGTAAATGTAGTGATGTACATAGTAAATGTAGTGGTGTACAATGTAAATGAAGTGGTGTACATAGTAAATGCAGTGGTGTACATTGTAAATGTAGTGGAGTACATTGTAAATGAAGTGGTGTACATTGTAAATGTAGTGGTGTAAACTGTAAATGAAGTGGTGTACATTGTGAATGTAGTGGTGTACATTGTAAATGCAGTGGTGTTCATTGTAAATGCAGTGGTGTATATTGTAAATGCAGTGGTGTAAACTGTAAATGTAGTGGTGTACAGTGTAAATGTAGTGGTGTAAACTGTAAATGTAGTGGTGTACATAATAAATGCAGTGGTGTATATTGTAAATGCAGTGGTGTATATTGTAAATGCAGTGGTGTAAACTGTAAATGTAGTGGTGTACAGTGTAAATGTAGTGGTGTAAACTGTAAATGTAGTGGTGTACAGTGTAAATGTAGTGGTGTAAACTGTAAATGTAGTGATGTACATCGTAAATGTAGTGGTGTACAATGTAAATGAAGTGGTGTACATAGTAAATGCAGTGGTGTACATTGTAAATGTAGTGGAGTACATTGTAAATGAAGTGGTGTACATTGTAAATGGAGTGGTTTACATTGTAAATGTAGTGGTGTATATTGTAAATGAAGTGGTTTACATTGTAAATGCAGGGGACATTAAGTGGTGAACACTGTACATGCGTTGTTATACATTGTGCAGGTAGTGTTGTGCAATGTAGATGCAGTGGTGTACATTGTAAACGCAGTGGTGTACATTGTAAATGCAGTGGTGTCCATTGTAAATGTAGTGGTGTACATTGTAAATTCAGTGGTGTACATTGTAAATGTAGTGGTGTAAATTGTAAATGTAGTGGTGTACATTGTAAATGAAGTGGTGTACATAGTAAATGCAGTGGTGTACATTGTAAATGTAGTGGTATACATTGTAAATGCAGTGGTGTACATTGTAAAAGTAGTGGTGTACATTGTAAATGTAGTGGTGTAAACTGTAAATGAAGTGGTGTCCATTGTAAATGTAGTGGTGTACATTGTAAGTGCAGTGGTGTACATTGCAAATGTAGTGATGCATTGTAAATGTAGTGGTGTACATGGTAAATGTATTGGTGTACATTGTAAATGTAGTGGTGTACATTGTAAATGTAGTGGTGTACATTGTAAATGTAGTGGTGTACATTGTAAATGCAGTGGTGTACATTGTAAATGTAGTGGTGTACATTGTAAATGCAGTGGTGTACATTGTAAATGTAGTGGTGTACATTGTAAATGCAGTGGTGTACATTGTAAATGTAGTGGTGTACATTGTAAATGTAGTGGTGTACATTGTAAATGTAGTGGTGTACATTGTAAATGTAGTGGTGTACATTGTAAATGTAGTGGTGTACATTGTAAATGTAGTGGTGTACATTGTAAATGTAGTGGTGTACATTGTAAATGTAGTGGTGTACATTGTAAATGTAGTGGTGTACATTGTAAATGTAGTGGTGTACATTGTAAATGTAGTGGTGTACATTGTAAATGTAGTGGTGTACATTGTAAATGTAGTGGTGTACATTGTAAATGTAGTGGTGTACATTGTAAATGTAGTGGTGTACATTGTAAATGTAGTGGTGTACATTGTAAATGTAGTGGTGTACATTGTAAATGTAGTGGTGTACATTGTAAATGTAGTGGTGTACATTGTAAATGTAGTGGTGTACATTGTAAATGTAGTGGTGTACATTGTAAATGTAGTGGTGTACATTGTAAATGTAGTGGTGTATATTGTAAATGTAGTGGTGTACATTGTAAATGTAGTGGTGTACATTGTAAATGCAGTGGTGTACATTGTAAATGTAGTGGTGTACATTGTAAATGTAGTGGTGTATATTGTAAATGAAGTGGTGTACATTGTAAATGCAGGGGTGTACATTGTAAATGTAGTGGTGTACATTGTAAATGCAGTGGTGTACATTGTAAATGCAGTGGTGTACATTGTAAATGTAGTGGTGTATACATGGTAAATGTAGTGGTGTACATTGTAAATGCAGTGGTGTACATTGTAAATGCAGTGGTGTACAT